GAAATGACTCAATCACATTATTCAATTTGTACGGTGCAAAAGTGGTAGCACACAACCAATCCTCAGTGTAGGCACACATAACTTCCCACCCGACAATGCGAGGAAAGTGGGAGATGATCCATTCTTGAAATATGGTTCAGATAAAATATTAATAAAAGTGTAACAAAATAATTATGAAAATATTAGTAAAAGTAAATTACCATAAGTAGCTTGCAGCTCCCTGTCATCTGTATTGTCTTCCAAAGATAACCTTCGCCTAACTTCAAGTACAAGTAGATCAAACAGACAATCCCCTAATTGTACTTGAGAATTGCTGTCAAGTTGATGAAATACTTAAGGTAGACCACATCGACATAGGTTGCACTTTTATCCACAAAAATGGACGTGCCAACCAAGAACAAGAGGTAACACCTCAATGCACAAGTTCGATTGTAGTCAACCTGTATATCATCACCTTCGACATCTGTAGGTAGTCTTTATAAAGGTGTTCCAAAAAATTAAATCTAGCATGAACACCTCTGGTGTTAGCTACCTCATATGCGACCTTAGTTGAGTCATCCCCTAAATGTGTGACCATAATCTCGACAGCTTCCTCTAACCGAACCTTCCATGGCCTAGTAATTTTTACTTGATGGAAAGATGCAAGAGGCACGAGACATCATCCACTGTGATGGTCATCTTGCTGAGAGGAAGGTGAAAAGATGACGCCTCTAAATACCATCTATCTGCAAATGTCTCCTGCATGTCGTGGTTTATGGTCATGTGCGCAACATAACATAAACCGACTAAACTAGAATAACGAATGACATCCCTGAACCAGTCAACATATCTTCTAACAATGGTTTACCGATTTCAAACACGGACGCTTATGTAAAAAAATATCATCAACAATATCGATTTATTTAGTTTAAAGCATATGCATTGGAAAATAAAATAAATATACATTTCCTTCCCAAACATGCCTAGCAACATGGTCTGCATAGAGATGAAGTAAGGAGGTGTCAAATGGACCTCTTGGATAAGTCTTTAAAGGAGCATCATCAATGGGTTCCTTTTGGGTTTCAGGGGCTGTATCATTTGGGGACTCATGGACGCGTGAATTATATGCCTAAGACAGACGACTACAAGAAGTAAAACCATACAGTTGGGAACCTCGGCGTTGTGTGTAACACCCTGTTTTATTTTAAACTATTATTCGTAATTTAATTATATGTGAAGTTGTGTGTATAAATGTGATTATGTGTATTTTATTGTGTTTGTGGATACCCCTGGTGTGTAATAGTGACCTTAAAAGTAGACTTTGAGGGTGAGGGGTGTGTGACTAATTTTGTAGAATTTGGTGGTGTGGTGAGAATCATTAAATAAAGTAATATTAGTAATATTTGATTAATTTTATTAATTTAAATTATTAGGAGATATTTTTATTATTATTTAAGTTGTAAAATTATTATTAATAATAATATTGGAATTATAATAATAATAAAATAGATATTAAAGTGTAAAAGGAGAATGAGGGCATGATGTTAATGTTGTGGGGAATAGTGAGGGAATACGAGGCAATCTATAGAAAGGGTTCTAGGGTTAAACAAGTGAAACAAGGAAAGAGAATTTATTATGTACGATCGTAACATTTGAGAAGAGCAAAAGAAAGGCTAAGGTTGAATAAGAAGAAGAGGGAACCACCATTTGTGAAGGTTGAGAAAGCTCAATTACAAGGTAAAGGTGGAGTTCTGATCTTCAAGGGATAGTATGTTGAATAGTAGGTAAGGGTTTAGGTCTATACATTGTAGGTTGTGGTGTTTTTCTATGCTATGATTGTTGTAGATTAACAGATGATGATATTGTTGGATTTATCGACATGTGATGAGTTTTCCTTTGCTTATATGTGTGACGATCTGTTTTGGAATTGTTGATAAGTTTCCTCCATTGTTGAGTTTGGAAGGTTTAAGTTGTAGGTATGAAAGTGATTTTTGAGATTTGTAACAACATGCGTCGACCTGAAGGTCTGTGAGTCGACCTGAAGCTTCCAGAAATGAATACTTTGAAAACTGTAACAGCATGCGTCGACTTGAAGGTCCTGTGAGTCGACCTGAAGTTTCAGCACATAGAAAAAAATGCTAGAAACTGTTTCGATCATAACTTTTTAACCGTTTATCCAAATGACAAACTGTTTGAAGTGTTGGAAAGCTAATGAGTAGAACTTTAACATGGTATAATTAGGTGAATATTTTCCCAATATTTTCATGTCTAATATGTTGAGGAATGTGATTATTATTTGTTGTGTACGTTAAGAAGTCTTGTTGTAAGTGACGAACCTTGAGTGTTGTTATAAAGATGTTGACGTGGTGTTAATGGTCGTAATATGAGTATGTTTTATTGATATTGTTGTGATTTCATAAAAGATATACATATATCTATATTGTATGAAATATAATTTTATGCTTGTTGGCCAATTTGGGCAGTGTACAATAACCACGGTGGTGGGTTATCGTGCACGATGATGTTATCGTTGTTGTATGCATAAATAGTCATATTGCATACATTTGTGGAAAAATTGTCCGTTGCTGGTGAGCCTAAAATCCCATTTTGTGAATTGGGCCGGTAGCTGATTCGGAGGTGATGAATCAGTGAGTGGTTATGATCCTAGGAGGTGGGGATCAAAACAGTGAGCCTGCGTGTTCACGAAAATTGGTACCACATGCATAAGCATTGAGTCAGGTGTGAGTCTCATTGCATTAGATATTATCTATGTTGCTATGTTGCTAAGTATGTGGTGTTGTGTGATTAATTTATTTGTTATCATGTGATTTCCTGTCGGTTGGTGGATAACTGGTGATGATATTGTTGGTTGATTAATGTGAGATGTTTAGTTGAATTGTTGTTGTGTTAACCTAATGCATACCGTTTAATATGCTTTCCATTATAATATCATGATATCTCACCCCTTTTGTTTGAATATTGCATTTACATGGGCAATATGCAGATACTCCGCAGTAGGACTCAGATGTGAGTTGAAGGTGGAGTCTCCTTACCTTTTTATTTTTAGTTTGGCGTCTGCTCTGATTGTAACACTAGGGAGTCGTGGAAACATGTTTTTGAATTATATTTTTTTGAGATTGTGGACATCTCCTTTATCATGTTTAATTACTGTTCGATGAATTATGCGATTCCATGATAACTTTTACATACCATAAAACAATAAATGACTTTATGATTCTCCTGCAATAAAAGTAATGTTCAATTTTTATGATTATGCAAAAATACAAGTGTTACATAGTCAGTCTGACGAGCAGATTTGTATGTTGGCCGTAACATCCTAGGTTATGCAAAAAAACAATGAATGCGTGTGTTTAATTTAATTACTCTGATATTTTATTTAGAAATATTACGGGAGAAATTTATGGTGTTACATTGTGAACCATCAAACGAGTTATTATCAATTCAAGACCTCGTGTTCCTACCTGAAGCCCCTCACATCGTACAAACGCTGTTTGAGACATAAGTTCGAGCCTAATTTTGTTATGGCTGTTTTCAACCATTGCACATGCATTACAAACAGACAGTCACATCACAAACATATCCAAAATTTAGCCACACAAATTCGGAGATGCATCTCTGACAATAGTTCAAACATAATCCATAGATGCATCTCCTAATAAAGTCGTGATTTTCTCTACAATGACAGAAACACGACTGTTGCCCTAACCCTCCAAACACATGTCAATGCGTGACCATTTTTACTACCTATTTCGATTCCACTACTATCTAATGTAGGTAAAAACAACTTGTGTTTTCTAAAACATCAATCAAAACAGAAAGAAAGAATATTGAAAATTTTACCAAATCAAATGAATGAGAAAGAGAAGCTTGAATGTATGAGAAACTTGAAGGAATGAGAAAGAACTCCAATGGTTGAAGCTTGAACGGATCAAAACCTCAAATGAATGTGAGAGCTGAAATGGTCTTTTTTTAGTTCTTTTTAGAGAATGAAAGAAAAAGAGGGAAGTGAAGGGTCTGACGTGAATAAAAGTATCAGGAGGAGATGTATCTCTGGACCGATCATTGAATTTTGAGTTAATGGTGTTTACGAAGATAGATATTTGAATTCACCTTTTACGCATGCAGAGAAACATTTTTGAATTAAATTTTAACAAAAATAAGATGCCTCATCAATTTGTGATAAAGTCTGTTTAAAAAAATATATATCTAGAGATGCATCTTTTAGATGTTAGAAACAGTTAGCACTTTTGATGCTCGGAGGACACCTGAAGGGTGAAAAAAAGTAATACATTGAAGTAATAATCCATATCATCAAGTGCTATCCATTTCTACTTTATCTATGTGAGACCACAAGTACCAACTTATGAGAACCATCAAGTAAAATAATGGTAGCGACATGCACTAACCCCCGTAAAATTGAGGAAGCAACCAAAAACTACACACATTTCCAAGCCTATTTCCACTGATCAATCAACTTCAACAAAAATCAACACTTTTATGGTTTGTTTCATAAACGCTATAGGGGATTAATCAAAATAAGCAATTCATTTCAGTTCCAACGGTTGCTTCTAAAATAATATTCAAATTGTGAATAGTGCAAAATAGATGAAGTTCAAAACACTTCAATAAGATCCATCCATTTGCAATAACAGTAACTTGAATAACAAAATCTCAATTGGAAAGAAAAGATATCTGAAATGGTATTTAGAGCAAAATTGGTATCCACGTTGAAGGTAATTTTCTGCTGCTTTTTCTAGTTCCATTTTTGTTTTTGTTACCGAGTTCCATTTTAGTTATTTTCTTCATCAAATCTTTGATCCAAACACAAATAACGCAAGTGAACCAACAAAAAGCTTTTTCAAAAAAAAGTGACTAGAAAAATTCTTAACAACATTCTATCAGCTCAAGTGGAAGCAGGGGAAACATTTTATTAAACACTTGTCATTGATCAAGACAAGTTTATTAAAGACTTGTTAGATTCCTATAAATCAACAGAAACATCAAATTTGTCCCAAAATGGTCTCTGCTCCAGAAACTTTGACATCAGATGGAGATTCTTCAACATTAAGAGCCTTCACTTTTCCATCTACCACATATGCTGACCATCTACACCAAAACAACAGCTACTCTTATGAGAATTGAAATCTGAATTCACTATTGAAAGATAAAACACATGTTTTGTGTTATAACCATTAACTCTTTGGTGGTTCCTTCACTACTTTACTTCTTCTTTAAGCAAAGTCATTCAAACCTCAAAACAAATGTTTGTGACAACGAGCTCGATCTTAGTTCAAGGAGGGTATATAACATACCTTTCCGATCGAATTCCAAGCAAACCGCCAGAGAGATCAGTAGTTAATTCCAAGCTTTTGTGAAAGCTCCCATCAAAGTCCCCATAGAACTCAATCTGGAAAAAGCGGGAAAAAAAAAAGAAACAGAATCACTCAATCAGCACCATTTGGGAAAAATAACATCACACCGCCACACGGAAGAGTGCACGATGCTACGCGTTGAGTTACAATCTTACATACACTGCTCTTTTCAACATTCCTACTCTTAAAGTAGTAGAAGAAGAGTGTCGAATGTGCTTAAAAGAGTTCTCGTTTTTCTCAGTTCTCATTATCTTTAAACTTACATGAAATAAACCATTGTTGATGCATTCCATCTACAAACTCATGCGTCATGATTAGCGCTAACAAAATAACAATGCAACACAATAACATCTTCAGGGATTGATCTGTTGGTGAAGACTTAAGACTTAGGAGTATGCTCCTCTCAAGTCTATTGATCTCCTAGATTAGTTGGTCCTAGGGCCGGATACCAGAGTTTCTAAAAGGAAAAAAAATTTCCAACTCAATTGAAAATGACTTTACAGCTTGAAATGATCCTATAGTTGTGATGCTAGAAATATGGAACAGAAACTGAACAAATTGCATACAGCTACAACAGTTCTACTACAAGGCTAAGAAAAACTAATCATAAAATAATCAGAAAGAAGCAAGAAAAAAAAAAATACTTACAGCATCTTTGGCTTGAATCTTCTCAGCCCAAGCATTCACAGTATATGGATCATTAATAGCCACACAAATAACAGAATCAATCCCTTTAGCTTTAAATTTCTCAATATTATCTTTATAAGGAGGAACATGTTTGCTTGAACAAACTCCAGTGTATGCACCCTAAAAACAACCAAAACATAAAATAAAAACACTACCTTAAAAATTACTATGTTTATAACAAATTGTCAAGTTAAACTTACCGGGAGACCAAAGATCACAACTTTCTTATCCTGCAACATTAAAAAAAAAAAGCAACCATTAGTGATTGAACAAAAAGTATTGAAAATTGGAAGAAAACTGGTGAGAGAACCTTGAAGATATCCTTGACAGGGGTAGTGGAGAACTTGGATTCAACACCTTCGTCCCAGGTGCGAGCTTTCTGTAGAGAAACATTGGATGCAGCAGAGAGTATATCAGTTCCAGTTGCAACCTTTGCGTAAGACCTGATTCCATCAAGAAGTGAAGACAGTGATTTTGTGGCTGAGGAAGAACGAAGTCGGTTGATTACAAAGGTTGCCATATCGGTAAATTCGCAGAGGTTGTGGTGAGCGTGTGATGTGATAGATCAGATCAGATCTGTTACACTTCACAACATTCGGTTGTGTTTTATTATTCAGGAATGCTATGTTTACACCACATCCTACACCCATTTCCTACACCGTATACACTGTTCACCGTATTTATACGGTGAACAGTGTTTTTTTTAATAAAATAATATATTTTTTAAAATATTAATTTTTTTTAAAAAAAAATATTTATTTTTAAAATTTATTTTATAACACAAATATAAGATTGCGCATTAACCAATTTTACAGTTGCATTAACCACAAAAATCTACATCATTAACCAATTATTTTACCTATAATTTATTAACCACTTTCACTACTTCATTAACCAATAAAATATATACTATTAACCATATTCTGAGAAATTTGTTCACGTATTTGTGAACAGTAAATTGGGTGTAGGGTGTAGGAAAGAGTGTAAGAATAGCATTTTTCTTTATTATTATTATTGTTGTTACTGCTCGTGGAGCATGGAGGTTAATTATGAGAATATAATAATAATGTTATATTATTTAGACAATTATTTGTAGTTAAGACTACTCTTTAGATTCTTTAAATTATTTTAAAATATCAAGTTAATAATTTAAATTTATTTTAATATTTTGATTTTTTTTTAAGAATTTCTATTATAATAAACTACAAACTCATATATTATTTAAACTGATTTTTCGCGCTAATCACGAATATGTAATTAATTTTACGTTAGATTGTGTATTTTGGTAGGATTGTTGATTTTTTATTATATATTTCATTTATTTTTATTTGATTCTCATGAACCATAACTTGTTTGATAAATTTGATTGCATATTCGTGATCAGTGTAAAAAAACCAGTTTAAATGATATGAGTTTGCAATTTATTATAACGAAGATTTAAAAAAAAAGACCAATGCATTACAAAAAAAAATTTAAAAGATTAATTTAATATTTTAAAATAACTTAAAGGACTAAAATAATAATTTTGCAATATTGAAGAGTTTTTGTTTATTAATATTACATATTTTTTTGATTAAAAGATTTTATCACAGACAAAATCATTTATGGTGATATATATATATATATATATATATATATATATATATATATATATATATATATATATATATATATATATATATATATATATATATATATATATATATATATATATATATATATATATATATATATATATATATATATATATATATATATATATATATATAATAATTAATTGTGTCGATTTTAATAATAAAATAAATGTTATTTATTAAAATAATTATATCAATAATAAATAGTTGAATAATTAAATAAATTAAAATATAATAAATAAAGGTAAGTTATTGAAAAGAAATACTAACAAATAACACATTAATATTTTAAAATGATAAATAATTTGAGACAAATAAAAAAAAAGACATAGACGAAATATTATTTTAATTTGAGAAATTGTTTAGTATTTTTTAAACAAATAAATGCTACTTTATATAAAAAATAATATGTATAATTGGGGTTAGGCCTGATCTGAGAAAAAAATAAAAACAAAACTAAAACAAATTATAAAAAGATCGAAAAGTTTTACTTATCTCTTGTGTTGCAAAATTTTACCCCATGTGTTATAAGTGATATTTTTATTTTTGTCTGTACTTTGTCTCGTTTTTGTTGTAGTTAATAATCATAGGCATGGGTTAAAAATTTCTAGAGAGGGATGCTCCCCCTTCTCTCTAGAAAAATTTCCCCCTAACCTTTTAGGGTTTGGTGGCTTTCTCCCACGTACATGGTGGCCATATCCTTCCACCTTTATGATGGTCATCTCCCAATCTTTTGAGAATAATTTTTCTTCCATCTATCTTCGTTCTCATGTCCTTACCATAACTATGTCTCTCACCGGACATTCCCTCTCTCCACCACGAACAACCGCCAAACCCCACATTTTGTTTTTGCGGTCGCCACCAGAGCCACCACCATTAAGAAATGACAAGTTTGTAAAGGGATTTATGCACATCTCAAAATTAACAATGGTGGATGCGCCTCTCTCCCATGAAACTTCTCCTACACCTTCGAGATGAATAATCTTTCGTCCACACCCGAAGCCGCCATGGTTGATCTACAATATAGAATTATTTCTTCTAACATAGCTGTTTAATTTTGTTTATTTATTTCGTGTTTTGTGTTTTTGTCTTTTAGGGGTTAAATTTTCACTCTTGGTGTTTGACAAAATGCCTCAAAAGAGTTTTCTGTCATATAACATGTTTATCTGTGTCTATTGGCATTTCATAGTGATTGAGGAAGTTTATGAGTCCAACATCCTCCCAACACTATCTCTAGTCATCTATTAATTTGTGAACACTCGAGAAGGTTTGGCAATATTGAGACCAAAGATAGTCAAAATATACAAATACAATTCAAAAAAATCATCCGTAATTGAATTTGGAAAAAGAGTGTGGATTCTCACTCCCACGTTCCCATTATTAGTGTTTGCAAGAGATTGGATTGCTAGATTAATTATTGTTGCTTTTGGTTTGGTTATGCCTTAAATTGTGAAAAATCTATGTATAATGTCTCTTATGACTATGTAGCATTTTCTCTTAGAACTGCTTTTAGGTTTTGTGTGGAGTACGTTCCATTTCAATTGCATCATGCTATTTGTAATACTTGTTGCTTTGGCTATTAATGAAGCATTTTCTTACTATGAAAAAATCATTAATGACCATTGATATGTTTCAAAATGACAAGAAAAATATGCAAGTGAATAAATGAACATTCAATGCATGAGAAATAGTCTCACATAGAAAGTTCAACTCACTTTAATAGTCCTTATATAGAGTTACATTTATTAACTCAACAAAAATAGTTAAAATGGATAAAGTGCCACATGGACAAGTGTGGTCGATACCAAGTTTTATGACACTTGTCACCTCCACACTCCTCCTTGCTGGTGTTGCCACCGGTGCGAGTCTGGATCCAAAACTGGGACAAGGGGCGTGAGTGCAGAGGCTCTAGTGGTAGTTCATAGGTGGAACTTAAGCACTTGGGCACGATGCATTAGAGCAGTCAGGATACTCGCGATGTTATACGACAATGCTCATGTGGATGGCTTTCAGTGGCAAGCCGCCACACACGGTTGTGGTCTTTTCTCCAGCCTTTTGTAATCGATGCTCCAGTCTTTTTGAGACAGCCTATGTCCCATTAGTGGAATTCTAATGAAACCTTATAAAAATACAGAAAAATTTGAAATTTTTAAAGGACAATACTTAATTATTTAAAAACATACTGTTTCACATACATATGCTTCAAATATATTTTACAGAGTTTGACACCGTTAAGACTAGCGGCCTTGCCACATAGATAAAACATAAAATAAAAGTACAGAAAGGAAACCAAAAAGAAAGCATACCAAAAGGGACCTCCTAAGTCCAACAAGACTGACACTTATACTGACTGTAGTAGTAGGGATGTGATTAGCGTTTGACAAAACACTAACAGCTCCCAATCTAGATGTTATAGTAACACATCTCCACGTCACTTCATATCCTTTCCTTCTGAGTTGTCGGGAAGTACGCAAGATTCGAGCTCATCGTCTGATCGTCATAAAATAATCCAAAATGCAAAACAAAAATGACACAGGGCTAAGATTCATGTACAAGTTTAAAAGTGGGAATGAATGTGTAAAATAATAATATATATGGAAACCATATTTATACAAACAAGCGTATCTTATACCCACAATTACATATACTTTATTTATTCTAATGCATCCCTGAACTATATGCTGACTCAGGCCACTAAACGCTGTCAATGATATCTATCCCATTTACCAAGATCAGATATCACTAGACCACATGCCACCAACGTACTCCCAATTACCAAGAGCTACGCCACCTAACTTCACATGGAGCCTAGGTGTTATAAGTCGATCGTCCCTGAGAATTCAGGCCAAGAACCTTGTCTTGCCTAGCATGCATAGATAATAATCCCCGTCGGGATTGCAGGCGACTGATCAACCTCGTGCGTCCCATACCGCACGGCGGTGGACTTACACATTCCTTAATGCAAGTCTATATGATCACTCACTCATCTTGTGGCAACTCTTAGCCATAAGTATTAAGTTAATAATGGGGAATTATCGTATCAACTTTTCAAGTTATACTTATTATCTAGATACTTAGGTTGAGTACCAAATCCATCCAATGTCTTGCCATATTTGATCTTTGTCCTTACATAATAAGTTCAGTTTGTATAATGGGTAATTGTATGGTTAACTTCCCAGGTAAGAGAGGTGGACTGTAAACGGCATAGTCGACCAAGTCTTTCCTTAGCCAGAACCCAACCAAATATAACTACTCATTGTATCCAACTTTCCTTATGTTAATGGGGATCAATTACTTAATATCTAGCAATGTTTTTCTCTCATTAACCGATTATTTCCTTAATCTATCAATCACAATCATTCAAGTATAAATAAAATAAACAATTATAAAATTAACCGAATAATGCAAGCACAATACAATACCAAATTGTCAAAGATTATTCCTATGATAATTAATTAAGGCCGGCGTAACCTCGCCTAGTGATTTGTGAAAATCATTATTTGAGAATAGGCTCTCCTTAATTATTTATCGCTAGTAGGGCTTAGGTCACCACTACACACATATATATTAAGTTATTTTACGCTAACCGTCCCAATCGTATACGAAATCTTGCCCCCACCTTTTGTTGAGTGTTGTTGAAAGTCCACAAGTGTTGTCTTCGATCTTTGCCAAGAACCTAATTTACGATAACCGTTGGATTGTACGAAATTTATGAAATAATTAGAATATAATTTATGGTTAATTGAACATAATCCCGTTATAACTTGAAATATTTATTTATTTAAATATATCATAATAACCTCCAAAATAATTATTAAATTCAAATATAAATTATATTATACCTCCTTTTGAATTTGTTTGTTTTAGAAAATTGTCAAGAGTATAT